TGCTGCGCGCACTTCTCGCCCGTGTCGGACTCCGAGGACGCGAGCGGCTATTCCGAGCCCGGCGCCGAGTGGGCGGAAAACGCGCTCGGCGCCTTCCGCGCCCTCTGAGCGCCCGCGGCGAGAGCGGCCCCCCTGCGCGGCCACTGTTGCACTTTACCCGCAGTGACTACTGGCACCTATTTATTTAAGGAGAGACGGGTCAGCTCCACGGCGCCTTTCTACCGTGTTCCAGGCTTTCCAAAAATGCATTTTGTATTTGTGCAGCCTGCCCGCCGCGCCGCGCTCTGTGGCGGCCGAGGGGTGGGAGGGACACTACAAGGGTTGCTGCTCTGTTATTTCTTTTCTTTGCTCAGGAAACGAAATAAAAGTTTGTTTGTGTTTGTTTGTTTGTTTTTTGCTTTGCTCTCCTTCCTTCGAGGTGAGACTGGCGTCCGTGCCCGGGAAGCCCGCTGTGGGGCTGCGTTTCCCCAGGGCTCGGCCCCGCTAGCGCCGTGCAGGGTCAGAGCCTGCCCCGGGCGGAGAGGAGGCTCGTGCGTTCGCAGCACCTCCGCGCTGGCCCTGCCACAGGGGAGCGCGCGCGCGCACACCGGGCACAAGCGGTGCACCTGCCTGTGCCATTAAACTGGATTAAAACACTGCAACAGCTTGCAGAAGCCATTATACTAAAGTGGAGTGTTGTTTTAGCAACATAGCCCCGTCTTCATTAAAGAAGAAAACCAGCCTCCCCACGTCCCTTTGCCCAATAGCAGCTGTTACGGGTAGTGGATACCTCCCCCCTGCAGCTCCCTGCCAGCAGTTGGGCAAAGCCAGCACCTGGACTGCCTGATGCAGCAGGAAACTCCTCCTCTACCTTCTGAGCTTTATTTTGTAACATCCCTCCTTTATTTTCCAAAATGCCACTCACTTTGTCTTCCAGGCCATAACACTTCATTTTTCAGGATTAAATTCTTTTAAAAATGACCTGAAACCATCTGCAAAAGTTTGCGTTTTTGTGAAATATATCAACTCTCATAGGTCAATTTATTCAGAGTTACAAATTTCATCGAGAATAAAAGATTTATGCATTTCTTAATTAACAGAACAAGTTTAGCTAAATATAAACTCTGCACTAAATTTTTGCAGTGGCACAATACCAACACAGAATACAGAAGCATCTTTAAACTATACAAAATTTTAAAATTGAAAATAATCCTGTTTACATATTCTTTATACATTAACATATAAAAGACCTCATTTAATGAGGCATCTAAAGGAATCAAAAACATCTCTACAGCTATCTCTGAAAATTCTGGAAACAATTCATTACACAGAAGCTTTACAAGACTATTTAAACAAACCAATACACACTTTTTACAAGATTAACATTCCAAAATGTACTAGGCAGGTTTCCACTTTCTTTTTTTCCCAGTTTACCTCACTGGTTATTTTTAATTATAAAAGTCTTCATATTTATATATGTTGGGTATTGTTGGATAATCAGCTATCTAATTTAAAAGTTGTGCAAAACAAACGACAGTTTGGAAAAACATTCTGTTTAACCAGTCCTTTATACAAAATGCTAACTAGAGCATTTTCACCCTGCATGAAGGGAAAAAAGCCACAACCAACCTGTCCCTGGAAAACTACCAGTTACATTTTTGTATTCCTTCATTAGACTCCTTATATAAGTTACAATAAGTCCGAAGGCCCAATGCAACACTGGCTGATGGACAGACTTGCCCAGCCGCCCTCAGCTTTTCAGCCTCCATTTGCTGTCCACGTCCTGTTGCTACCTCTGTCACCACGTGGGCCGGCCGGGCTGCCTGGCCCTACCTGGTGTCCGATGTGGCGACATGCGGGCCCCCGGCAGAGCTGGGGCTTTTGAGCGCAGAGACGCTACTGACGCGAGCCCCTTCCTCTTCATTTCTAACATACCAGGAGAACCGGCGACAAGAAGTGGGCAGAATTAATCTGAACTTTTAAAAAACTTTTAAAAAAAATTAAGTTCAAATTATATGAAAGCATGTCTTCAAGTTTGTTATACTAAATGCAGTTACTAAGAGATTATTGGTTAGCAAAACTACTGTAGGTGAATAACAAATGGAAAAATCTAATGTAATGCTGGCCAGTAATGCTGGTTTTCTTAAGAAGATATAAGGTATTTAGAAAGGGTCCTTCTCGAGAGGTCTTTTTCCTTATCTTCTGGCAGTTAGGATATTTGGTGAAGCCTATGCAAAGGAAGAGGATTTTCCAGAACTACTCGCTGTACGCTGGAAATAAAGTTCTCAGTCTCTGTTGGTGTTATTAGCTGCAAACGCATGTAAATTTCCCATCTGGCTCAGGCCACTCTGAATATGTGCAACATGGATCTCAACGTTATTCTGAAAACAGCTACGGAGAGAAAAAAAGAAAAAGAAAAAAGATTAAAAGTCCATATTAAAGAGTCACAGCTGAATATTTCCAGAAAGTCAGCTGTTTTTTGTCAAAGTATGAACATAATCAACATAAAAATCTGGAAGGATTGTCAGAGGGTAATGCGTACTAATGCAGCTCAGTAAGACACACATACAAATAGCATTTGCCCAAATAGCTGCACAAAGTCATTGACTTGTGTGCTTTAAAGCACACTTTTACATCATCAGAGTTAATAAAGTATATATATACTGTGAAGAGATGCTAAAATACTCAAAATAAGCACTGCTAAAAAGATGATAATATATTTCCCTGTGCTTATCAACCTTGCTTTTTGCAGTGTTGATTATGGAAAAGTTTCACCAATGTTTGGATTTTATTTTTGTTTTTAATAAAATAAAAAGCACTTCAAAACAGCATTTCTGTATCCTTGTCTGTGGTCTCCTATTACTAGGAAACAATGAAAGTATAGAGAGCATAAAGTACTTAGCATTTAGATAAGATTTTATAAGTGACGTCATTTTAGCAGCAATATAATTATAAAAATTTCTGTTCACAGATTGTAGAATGCTGCTGAATACTCAAACTACAGTCCTGTTAATTTTTTAAGGCTTCCTCAGGCATCTGATTTGGATTACTCTCAAAGAAAGGACACTAGATTAGATAGGCTTTTGATCTGGCACAAATATGGCTGTTTAAAAATATTGATAAAGCAGGCTGTTCAGAAGCTGTAATTGTGCATATACAGCTTTGGATCCTTAGAGACAAGAGGTTGAATCACATTGCTAAAAAGAACATGGAAGTTGCACTGTTCTGTGGTTTAAAGAACTTAAGCAGAAAGCTTTAGAAACAATGATAACTCTCTCAGATGTTCAAATCTGGAAATAGTCTAAAGATAACTTATTAGGTGTCCAAGTGTAAGGTAAAAGGCAGAGTAAAAGGAATAATCTAGTTACTGCTGTATCAATGTAATGTTTTTTTTAAATTATTTTTATTCATGTTATTTTGCTGCTATGATCAAACAGAAAAGTTCCTTTAAACTCTCTCTAACAAGACCTCCTTTAAATGGGACCATTCCTATACAAAGACGTTATGGGATTCAAACTCTTAATTATAATCAACGTTCCATCCCTAAAGTACAGTAATAATTGCTTGCTGGAATGAAATATGTCATTAAGAATTAATTATTTAAAAAGCAATACCTGATATTTGAAGAATCTATTGAATTCTTGATGTCATTTAATGAATCTGTTAGTGATTTAAATTCAAAGGAATTCAGGTCACCTCCTTCTGCTAGACACTGTAGGAGAAGAAATTACAAATAATGTTTTGACAATTCAGCACAAATAAACTGACAACTTCAATAACATGTATTTGATGTGAGAAACTATATTTTTCCAAAAGTATTACCTTAATTTGCAGTAATATTGCTGTAAGTCTGGAGATAAGATCAGTTAAGTTTTCATTTTCCACACACAGCTGTCCGGTTGTCAAGGAATTTGCTTGCCTGACAATCTCCTGAGCTTCCTCTTCGCACCTCCGTCTCAGGTCTGTTGGCTGATCTGCAGGCTGGAGGCCTTGGTCTGGAGCAAGCTGCACAGACACAATGAAGAGAAATGAAGATCAAAGCTCTCCTTAGCAACTGATGCACCTACAAAAGGGCAAATGATTTCAAAAGAGAGTTCAGAGATGCACAGCATGCAGTATCTTGTCTGCATTTATGTACAGGGTCATCTAGTCCAAAACTGGACCCTGGTGTGAAAGTTTCTGTGTTTGGAGAGAGAAACAGAGGGAACCTGCCATAGTTGCTGCTGAAGGTTTCATTTCCAAGCACCCTCCCTATCCCCCAAGAAAAGGATTTGTACCTAACAAAGCACCAAACACACACAGATTCTAGCAAAATCTTACCTCGTAACAATACTGTTGAACCTTATGCAATACTTTGTTTAAATCTTTGTTTAGTTGTTCTAGATCTAGAACAATAGTTGCATATCTCCTCTGAAACTCAATGCTGATCGGCATAGAATAGGATTTCTGTGGAAAACAGAGAGCATATTAAAGTGTTAATGCAATGCTTGCATATGTATCTGCTGAACTCATCCGAAAGAGTTTTCATGTGAAAATAGTAGTGAGGTAGTTGAAATGTCCATGTTTATCAGAAACAGTTGAATGCACAAAACGTGAAAACCTGGTGTCATGGCTTAAAACTCCACCACGATCAGCAGTGCTAAATCCTGCATAGGCCTGTGGTCAGACCTGCTACCTCTCTAGTAGCTGCTCTTTATATGAGGTCAGAGCAGCCCTTACTGACTTCCCTTTGCTGCGTGTACAGAATTATTGGCTAGTGGGAGAGCCACATGGGACAACATGGTGCAGGGCTGTGCCGCGGGTTGGAGGATCACCTGAGGACAATGCTGTGGGGCAGACCTTCTTTTCCAAAAGGTTGCATTGAAATAAAATACATTTAAAAGAGAAATGCCATATCCTCAATGGCACAAACACAGATGCTGTTATGAAAGGGACAAAAAAGGGTAGAAGGTAAGATAAAACTACGACCCACTAGGAAAGGTATCTTGTCCCCCCAGTTCATCAAGGCAGCCTAGAGGAGTGACAAAAGTTGCTACTAATGGCTTCTTTACAAAGCAAACAAGCAAGGGAAGAATTTCAAAGGTATTTCAAAGTCCTTATCTAGACTACAACTAAGCTAAAATGTAGCAAATGTAACATTTGTTCCAGGATCTCCTTCTTTGCTATCATTTCTTTGCTCTCGCAACTTTGTTATTCTTGTTGTTCTCACTCCACAACAAAGGTAATTTATGACTCAGTAGTGGAGTGCTGTGTCAGTGTCTGGATTCCTGTCGCACGAAGCTTTCTGAAACATCTGCCTTTCCTGTGGCTCATTTTGTCTATGCAAAAGTACTAACAGCTCAGTAGAAACAAGAAGTTTTTTTTTCATCTCTTTTAAGGAGAGCTGGTAATTTTTCAGTATCAGTTACAGGCTGCAATAGTGTGTTTTAACCCTGATTCTAACTGCAGTAGGCAGTAGAGTGACTGAACGTACATGTGCACACAGGGACTGAAGGCATCAAGGAGGAAGTCCTACCACAATAAATCATTTGCCTTTCTAATATTTACCTGAACAGTTCAGCATTTTTGGTTTCAAGAAGCAACAAGAAAGCCTTTTCCTCTCCACAAACCTCTGCCCTTCTTCTGCACCCTGCAGAGACAACCGGCTGCAGAAGGCTGAGACTGACAGCTCTCCACCTTCAGCTGACTGATAGCCAGGGGTAGTGGAAGGAGCATTATCGTTTTGATTTACTGACTGATGATTAGATAAAGCCCAGCAAAAACAAACAAACAAACAAACAACAAACAAACAAACAACAAAAACAAAACACTCTGCTGCTGCTACTTGTACTGTAGCTGCTCTCTTATTGTAATTTTAAATGCAGGTCAAGAGCACTCAGAGCTTTAAATACAAAAACTTCTAAGTTATTGTTTTAGATGGCAAGCTAAATAAATACCATCCGCAAAATAAAATTATGACAAATGCTTTACCATTTAGGCTTCTATCTAAGTTTCTTTAGGATTTCTAAAGTACACAGCATACATCAGTTGACATGCAAAGGAAACACTATCCCAATGTGAACTTCAATCTCTGTTCCCAAAGCAAAACACTTTTAAAAGTCAAATTGCATTTGAAATAACTGACCTCTAACTTGTTTAAATATATACACACACACACACATATATAAAGCAATAAAATAGATCTCTTCCAGACTTTTATTTTGTGTATATATATCATTCATTACATTTATTTGCAAGAAAACTGTTTAAGTACACGCTATCTTAAGAACAGAAAAGAGAACATTCTCACCAGCTTTTCTGCTTCTGTATTCATCTCTCTCAATTGTTTGATGTGTTCTTTCTTGATCATGAGGATTTTTGATAACCTGGTCTAAAACAAAAGAGCTATTTTTAGGATGAACAGGTCCTTAAACAGTTTTGAAATGCTACAGAAATGCATCATAACGCCTGTTTTCTTAGGTTTTATTAAAAAAACAAACTCAGTTGTTCATCAAATTAACATGCAGAAATAAAAAGTAAGTAGAAATAAACTATGGATTTTAAAAGAGATTTTCAAAGTATTTTCAAGTGTCCTAGACTGCAGAAAGCTAAAACCAAACAGCTGAAATAACCTACAGGAAGACCAATATAATTTACAGACAAGAAGATGTTGAAGAAATTTTTTTTCCCCCCAAGCCTAAAGGAAAGCTAAGGATATGATCATCACATCCTACAAGTAATAAATAACATTTACCTTACTATCCCATTCACACACAGTTCTAAGCCTGTTCGCAGCTGTGTCTGTAGACTGAACACCAGCCCTTTTTATATACTCTTGTAATGAAAGTTGCTACAGAGTTGATATATTTAAACAGAAGCCAAGAAAAAAAAAAAGCATGTCTGCGCTTTCCATTTCCCTGTCTCTTTGTAATGTTTGTAATGAGAATATCCCATTTTTGCTGCTTTGGGACCTACCAGACCGAAGAAGGAATCACTGGAAATACTTGCTTACCATACACATAACTCTTAAAATTGTTCACACTCTCCTGGGCCCCTGGGAGAAATTCTAGCTCCACTACAACCAGCAACAGTTTTATTACTGATTTAAAGAGTGCTCGGATTTCAGGTTTTAGACATTTCTTAAGGCCTAGCTACACCCTAGAAATGGAGCACAGGAGTGGGAGATGGTCTTAAAAGCAGCCACGTTTCTTGCCCTCACAAATCCTCATGGAAATTAGCGCTACTTCATGCTAAACTGGGGGAGAGTTTTCAGTGCAACGCTTGTCTACATGTTAAAGCTCCCCCTCTGAAAACAAAGAACAGCCCAAACAGTATCTTTGGATTTATACTTTATACTTCATTTTTTGAGTCAATATAGTACTTATAAAAACAAAAGCATTTCAAGATAACGTATGCAATAGCTTTTTACTATGGACTATTTTCCAAACTTTTCATAGACAGAAATCCAGTATCCGTTTTTAGATTTTTCTTCCTGCAATTACATTGAGACAGTTTTCCCCCACAGCAACCAGGAAGCCCAATTCCCTTGTCTGGATGTGCTGCATTAACAAACTCCCTCTACTGGACATGCAGCAACACTGCAAAAACTCATTTTTGTCTTGGATTGTTTCCTTTTCAATCTAAATCTAATCTTTTCCAAAAGAGATCAAAATAAATAAATAAATAAAAGGCTGTGGCTAAACACCTCTGGAGGCTTTCCTCTGCAGGAAATATATCCTTCAGATTTTAATGCTGCCTACAAGTAGAGACTGCTCAGAAGAGAATGCTATCTATCAATTTTCACCTGCAGTATAGCCTATGAAATATTTGATGCATATCATATGCAAGGATGGCTGAGAGACTTTTATTTTTGTTAGTTTATTATATTTTTACTTCCTTCTTGTTGATTTTATTCCAAGTACTAATACAGATGAAGTCAACTTAATAGCATCAGGTTTGTTTTTGAGACTAATTAGCATATCTTTATACACAGTAAAGAGAGAAAGGACAGTAATTTCTGATGCCAAAACAGAGACATATGTAAGTTTATGTAAGGATTTAGAAAAACTAGGAACCACCAAACCAAGACTGTAACTGAAGTATAATGTAGTTCTTACAAGCCCTAATATTTGCTACCAGCTGCAAGCTATACGCAAACAGACTATCTTTGACATTTATTTATCTGTGCCAGAGGATTTTGGCCACACTTCCTTTTCTTCCCTACTAATTTCAGAACCTGTAAGAGAATATCAAGAGGCTGACTGGAAACCTTATTCCATGTGTGGTGCCATTTTATTTTCCTGTTTAGTCCAAAACAAAGCTTTTTCACTGGAACTGTTTACTCATGATATAAATAGTAGCCTACCTTACCAGAAAGCTTTCTTTGAAACAAAATTTCCAATCATTTTTCTTTCTGAATCATTATTAAATCAAAATGATGACTATAGCTTTGTTACTGCACCAAACTATAAAAAGTGACTCTGCTACTGCAGCAATGTATAAGATGATGTATAGAACATCTTTAGCTGTCACCTTTAGCACAAAACTAACCATGGATTAGTGAAAACACGGCAACCCATAAACAGTGTCCAAGTTCAATACTATCCTTTACTTCAAATAAAAGTGTTGATTCTCTAGACTCTAAAACAGCATTTATTGAAGGTCCGTGCATTCTTTTCGTCTTTTGTAACTCTGTTAGCAGAAAACTGGATAAGTGTTAAGATGCTCCCATAAACATATCAAAATCTGTGATCTGATTTTGTTAAAGCAAAATCTTTTGGTAATCTTCAAGCAAAAATACTAGGAAATGCAGTCTCCTCATAGAATGCCAACACTTCCAATAACAGCAAGGGGGCAATACTTTTAAAACTCAGATTTATTTACGAGTAATAATATATTACCAACGATGACCGAGAAATCTCTTCATTTTCAGATTTAAAACACAGAAAAAATATGACCATATTTTAGTTTGATTGACTTAAGAAAATTGTTAAACTCGACAAACCGCACTTACTCAGTTTGCTTTTAACACAATTTTGCTGACTAGTGACTGCAATAATAGCTGCAGATCCAGTTTAGTAACACAAATATCATATATTTTCATGGATTTTCATTTTTAACATATTTAATCTTAGAGCAACTACATCTATTTTAAAAGTTCTTGGCTAAACTGAATGACATTTAACTGAATTTCATTTTTTTTTGAAATTAGCGTCACACAGTAAATTTCTCCCTAAAAAATTTAATGGTTTGTACTTGTGAAAATGATCCACTAGCCCGAATATTTGTGTATCCCATATTAACTAAAGACAAAACTTGATTTTTTGATCATTATATACACTTTAAAACTCAAAAAAACTCTAAAAAGCTTAGCAAGATTATATATCAATTCTTAATGCTTTAAACAGATCGTTCCAATTTCCTTTAGCATGTTCAAAACATTTGCAGGTTGAAATATCTTTTTTTTTTTTTTTTTTAAGCCCAAGTGGTAGAGCTGGAAAAGTGAGACAATTTTGGAGACTCTTCTTGATGTCTGAAATAAGAGAAGCAGATTTCGAAGCTGAAGACAAGCAAGAAAAGTGAGCATAAAAAGTCCTCAAACCATATTACTAGCATCTTACAAAAAACTTATTTTTGATATCACCAAACTGCTTGGAAATCAACAAAATGTCAATTAACTACAAAAGAATTGACAAACTAAACACAAAAGGGCAACACACGACAGTATTTAGAGTTGCAGCTGAAACTTACCACTTGAATGAGGAATTCTACTGGAAAGCCGCCTAGTGTTTCACTATCTGTGCCTGAAATTTTGCTTTTCCATGAAGATTGTCCTAATAAAGGATCATTGTCCTATATAAGGAAGAATGTTTAAGTTAACAGCTTATTTCTAAAGGATTTTGCTATAATTTTTATTTTACTGAACAACTGCAAAACTTAATCTCAAAACTGTGTAAGGTAACAACTTCAAACACCTAACACAAAAAGCTTCACTGAGTAATATCACAAAGTTAAACAAAATAAATAACTTACTGTAATTGGAGACTGGAACGACGGTGTATACTGCAATCGGGGAGGGGTCATAAAGAACCGAGAAGGCCGTTGTTTCTGTCCAAAGGCAGCAATTGGCATGGTTTCATGGGGCTCATTGCTCTTTAACACAGAAAAAGAAAAAAAAAGATACTTCAGGTGTTAGCCTAATTAAGTTTTAAGCACCTTTGAAACACATATATTTACTTCTAGACTGACCCTTCCCACGCCACATTTTCAAAGCTGAACAACATTAGAAGAGCGATGACCTACTAGCTTAGATAAATGCAGAACTTTATGAAACACTACATTTAAAACTTCCTTACCCCCTCGCCTTTTTTTTTTTTTTTTTTTTCCTTTTTTCCCTCCTCTCTGCTTTGAGGCCAGTAAGAGCTTCAAAAATCCTATTTCATTCCTGCAGTTTACAAAGTGATATGGCACAACATACAAAAATCCACAAGAAAAATCCACAAATCATAATCGAAGAGGAGTTTGGCAGAGCTCCACACTTAGATCAAAAAAGAGGTTAGTTCTTAGACATGTTCTGAGCCCTTAGCAGATTCAACACCAAACAAACTATCTAAGGCAAACTGTTCATCAAGAACAATTCCTGGAGATCATAAATTGATAAAAAAGCACATCAAATAGGAAATAAATCCAAATTACGGGTAGTTTCACTATAATAAAAAAGATTAAAAATGAGATTCAATCAACATACAGCACTTGCTTCCAGCTGCCATAGGCTTTTCCCGACAAAGCGATGGCTTTTCTTGAACGTTTTCCACAAACAACAACAGAATTCAACCGCAGAATTTCCTTCGGGATCTTATATCAGTCAATATTTCTCCTCATATTAAACCCAAACTATTATAATAACCTATAAGAGTAGCTCTAGTAAACTATTTCAGCCTGAATGATCATCAAAAATGTTAGCCACTTATGTTAAATCATAAACTGTGGATGCTCATTCCCCCGGGAAACCACAATTATGAAATCAGGGGGCTAAAACTAATCAATAAAATGCAGCTCCCAGATGCATCTCCCTAAAGAGTTACATAGACCTTCATAAATACATGCACTCATTTACAAAGGCCTTTTCCCATGAATGTTTTTCTTACTTCTCCTTTATTGAAAACACCCCTGGACTTTATTTTGAATCTTCTTCTCTGATTAAAGCATAAAACTCTTTTGCCTTGTGTTCCAGCTATTTTAAGAAATGGGTTATTAATACTTACAAGAACTTCATAATCTGGGACTGTATGTGTTCCAAGACCTGCTCTGTCAAAAGTCACTCTGTACGTGGCATTGAGAGTGTCGACAGCGTCTATCTGTCCAGTAAACAGGCCATCATGAACTCCCCGCAACCGTGCTAAAAAAGAAAAACAGCCCCAAATATATCAGCGTGTTTTGTCACCAGTGGGCAAAATAGACTTCTCTCCCAAGTAAGCCTGGCATCATCCAATAGAAAAAAAATACACCTCAAATGAAAACACATTGTAAACCCACAAAAAGAACTGTATGTAACAGAAATACTACCTAATTTCTGACAAAGTTATTTTTGCAAGCCAAGTACTTCCAAAATTTAATTCTTTGCGCTACACTTACATCTAAACAAAATGATATTTAACACCCAATAACTTCTGACAGATTTTGGACAAAATCAATTTATAAGTGTTTTTGGGCACTAGTTCTCTTTGAACACTACGACTGATACGACAAGGGGTAATGGGTACAAGTTGAAACACAGGAAGTTCCACCTCCATATGAGGAAAAACTTCTTTACTGTGAGGATGACAGAGTCCTGGAACAGTCTGCCCAGAGAGGCTGTGGAATCTCCTTCTTTGGAGATCTTCAAAACCTGCCTGGGTGCCACCCTGTGCCATGTGCTCTGGGTGTTCCTGCTGGAGCAGGGGGGTTGGACTAGATGATCTCTAGAGGTCCCTTCCAACCTCAACTATTCTGCGATTCTATGACTGATGACTGCATGTTCAATAAAGGCAAGCAGCTCAAAATTCCT